CGACCCTGAGCAGGTGAGGATGGGCGGGACCCTGTAGAGTCTGAGGAAGAACACGTGGGGAAGACATGTTCACTGGAGAACATCCAATAATGAAACGAAAGACCCTTTCCCAACAGTAGGTAAAACACGGAGTCTCATTACCTCTCCTCGTAGAGATCCCACCCAGCATCACCAGAAAAGAACCACATAAGAATTATGGAAAAAAACAAATTGCCCATATTCACAACTCAAAGTATAAATATAGAAGATCCATGAAGAACAAGAATAGGCAGAAAATACCTCTAGTGAGTTTTCAGAATACTAAGGTGATATAAAAGCAAATCACAGTTCACTTGGAATCACTAGCAACAGCAGTTAAAAGACACTTTTGAAAATAACCTAGCTGATTAAAACTAATTTTATTGATAAATTTTTATTTATTACAAATTACCTTAGAGTCCTAAAATTTGTCTGTGATACAACACACACACACACACACACACACTCAGAAACACACAGTGCTCTCTGCACCCCGGTTCCTGACAAGAGGTTCCTAAAACCCCTGTGATTTCCTAACTCATAAGAGCACTAAGAGCATCTTTTGTTCTAATGAGGTGACTCTGGGTGGCCACCAGAAGGACCCAGCCAACATTAGAAGGGTGGACAGTTCAGGTGTAATCACATCCATCAGGGAGGGCAGACGGTTGGGAAATGGAGGTAATAACTGATCATACCTATGTGAAGAAGATGGAAGAAGATGCAGAAAACCCCAGTAGAACAAGGATCAGGGCTTCCAGGTGGTTGGACAAATCCACACAAGGAGGGTGACACACCCCAGTGCCACAGGGACAGAGGTGTGTACACTCAGGTTCCCCCACCCACCCACTTGTCCCCAACCTCAGGCAGGCTCTGTATCTTTTCATCTGGATGTTCCCTGCATCCTTGTTCTTCTCCTTTAATGAACTGGTGAACATGAGTCAATGTTTCCTGAGTTTTGTGAACTGCTCTAGTAATGAATCCAAGAGGGAGTCATGGGAACCTCGAGTTGTAGCCAAGTCCCACAGAAGCTGTGGGTACCTGGGGACATGGTACCTGTGACTGGCATCTGAACTGAAGGACAGTCCTTTGGGACTGAGTCCTTTGCCTGTGGGGTCTGACACTACCTCCAGGTAGGTGATGTCAGAATTGAGTTAGACTGTAGGACCCCTGGCTGGTGTCACAGCACTGCTTGTGGGGGAAAGGCATGTGTATCTGGTGACCAAAAGGGTCAGAAGGTAAAGGAAGTAAAGGAGAAAGACACCGGAGGAGAACTGCAGGTTTCTCCAATAGGAAGTCTAATGAAAGATATAAAATGATCTTAATGAAAAATTATGAAAATCTGAATGACGTCACAGTACAAAGAAACAAATAGAAAGATGGCACATGTTCTCTGAAAGGAAACTCGTGCCACCATGAACTCTCCCAAATACATGTAGAATTTTAATAAAACAACATTACATCCAAAACCAGGTTGGGTTTTTTTTTGTTCATTTCTGAATTTATAAAACTACTTCTAAAAACTAAAAGGAAAGCAAATGTCTAAGAATAGCCATGTTCTCTACAGAACCAGATGGAAGAACTTCCTCGTATCACACCAAGACATGAAGTCACAACAGTGACTCGGACAACTCAGCACAGCAGGAGGGACCCATGGATAAGAATGGGAGTCTGTGACAGGACCATCTGTGGGGCATGAATCTCTCCCAGACCAGGCACTGCCCTGGGGTGGGGACGACGGACATATGGGGGATGAGGAATGGTTAGCCACAGGAAACAGTGAATGTCCTTGTCATCAATTTCATGTAAAACAACCAACCTGACGCTGATTTAAATGTAGAACACTTTAAGAACCAGTTAGAGTCAAGTGTCTATGACTTCCTAGTACAGAGTTTTCTTATATAAGGAAAAAAGAATAAGCTACAAAGGACAAAATGGATAAATTAAACTATAAACATTAAGAGTCCATTCACCAGCACAGAGTAAAGAGAGTGAAAAGATAACCACACTCCAGAGAAAATGTGCACAGTGTCTGCACATGAAAAGGGATTCCTGCCCCAAGTACCTCAGAAAACACCAGAAATCAGTGAACATGCAAGTGACTCAAAGGGAACCAAAGTAAGAAAATATTTCACAGAAGATGAAACACCACATGGTCTGGCTCAGTGGTGGTCAGTAACAACCATGTGACCACAAGGAGATCCTGGCTCACATACTATGTGGACAAATACTAAGGTAGGTGATTCTAACTGCTGGAAACCATGTTGAAGATGTGAACACATAGAAATGACAGGTGTGTGTGTGGGGGGGGGGAGAGGGGGGTGAATTCACACCCTCCACCATCATTTTCTAGTAAATGTAAATTTGTCCATAATCTGCAACCCACAATTTGTCTGTTTCGTGTATAAACTTTTTTTTTTTTTGGTGAACAGTGTTTTTTTTCCAGGACCCATCAGCTCCAAGTCAAGTAGTTGTTTCAATCTAGTTGTGGAAGATGCAGCTCAGTGGCCCATGTGGGGATCAAACCGGCAACTTTGGCGTTATGAGCACTGCACTCTAAGTAATTGAGCTAACTGGCCACCCCTTTAGTGTATAAACTTAAGATGCAATTTGCACTTGGAGATAAACCCCAGAATACCTGTAGTAGCCTTGCTGACTAATCAAAAATACACTTGACAGGATGCAGGCCACACAGCACTGTAATGGATGAGTAAATAGGGGGACCGAGCCTCAGACACCAGCATGTGCTACACAGACGGGGGTTGAGAATCACAGAGAGGCCTCTATGTGACATTATTGGTGTACTGCTGTAATAGTAATTTATGGGAAATGTATGAGACAAAATCCACACACTGGTGGGTGATGAATAAGAAGTGACAAAGGTATGAAAAATAACAGGACAGACATCACCCTGGCCATGGCAGAGAAATGAGACCTGGCAGAAGCACCCAGAAGATGGGGGTGCTAACAACTGCCCAGGACCTACCTGTTCACTTAGGCAGTAAGGCCACAGGTGTTTGTATTATTATTATTATTATTATTATTATTATTATTAAAGTTTGAATGTAAAAATCAAACCAATGGGTTAGAAACAGCCCAAGGCAACCACAGTACAGCTCAGAGTACAAACCCCTCAGCCCACGTGCAGGTGGGTCCCTCTTCCCAGGCTCTGTGGCTTCTCTCAGCACCACCAGCTCCTTCTGGGTGGCTCTGGGGATTGGAGGCCACCTACAGGAGGAGGTGCCCAAGACCCCACTGCACTTGCCTCACGTCCCACACAGGACCTACTTTGGGCGCAGCTTGTCCTCTCTCAGGTGATGCACCTGCTTCAAGGACTGTGGGTCATTTAGATGAGACAGTGACTGTCCCAGTGTGTGAACGAAACCCCACAAAATCACTGCTTTCACATGTGTTTAAGTTAAAGTGGAGGAGGATATTCTAGAGCACTTTTATGGTTGAAATAACTGGAAACTGCTTATCATTTTCAGAAAACAGCTGTCAGTTCATTATTATCATCATGATACCAAATTGTAAATCAAACAATCAGAAATTAACATGTGTCAGTTTCACTGGTCACATTCGATCTAAGAAGTTGAATTAATCTTCGATGACCAGCTATTAACAGGCAGTGGGACAGGCTTAGACAGTGTCACAAACGCTGCACCCTGAATGGAAGAATCACAACCATTTTTATGAATATTGTAATCCATCTCTTCACCCACCTCACATCAAGTTGTGGAACTGCGTGCATCTATCTTGCAATTGTACTGGAAGAGAAAACATTTTCTGTAATTGTGTCACTTTTCCTCAGCAGGATCTCTGGTTCAGCCCCGTATTATAACAGGGTTGAGCAGGACAGACAAAGACCTAAGACCCTTACCGCTCTCACTAAGGAGAAGAAAGGTGACAAAAGGAATTCAGTCCTTTTACATCAGCCGAAACCGGAGGCTGGAATGAGGGAAAGCTCTCAGTGCAGAGCTGGACACATAGGAGGCTGCTCTCAGTGTCAGGAGACAATGTTGAATCCTCTGAGCCCTGGGCTCCTGGAATCCTTGATGGAGTTGAAAGGAATCCTCCCTCCCATATCCATTTGTTCTGGAAAAGGGAACTCTGCAAGAACCTCCTTCCCCTTGTTTATCCAGGACAAGGCTGGACACCCCC